CAAAAGGGGGCTCTCTAAACCATCGTTTATCCTGATGAAGGGGCAGGAAGTAGAACTGAACCCTAGTTTATCTAATATAGGGACAAAGGGGGCTCTAAACCATCGTTTGCCTGATGAAGGGCAGGAAGTATAACTGAACCCTAGTTTATCTAATATAGGGACAAAGGGGGCTCTAAACCATCGTTTGCCTGATGAAGGGGCAGGAAGTTGAACTGAACCCTAGTTTATCTAATATAGGGACAAAAGGGGGCTCAAAACCATCGTTTGCCTGATGAAGGGGTAGGAAGAATATCTGAACCCTAGTTTATCTAATATAGGGACAAAGGGGGGGCTCAAAACCATCGTTTGCCTGATGAAGGGGTAGGAAGAATATCTGAACCCTAGTTTATCTAATATAGGGACAAAAGGGGGCTCTAAACCATCGTTTGCCTGATGAAGGGGCAGGAAGTAGAACTGAACCCTAGTTTATCTAATATAGGGACACAAGGGGGCTCTAAACCATCGTCTGCCTGATGAAGGGGCAGGAAGTAGAACTGAACCCTAGTTTATCTAATATAGGGTCAAAAGGGGGCTCTAAACCATCGTTTGCCTGATGAAGGGGCAGGAAGTAGAACTGAACCATAGTTTATCTAATATAAGGACAAAAGGGGGATCCAACACATCGTCTGCCAGATGAAGGGGCAAGAAGTCGAACTGAAAACCCTAGTTTATCTAATATAAGGACAAAAAGGGGCTCTTAACCATCGTCTGTCAGATGAAGGGGGAAGAAGTAGAACTGAACAATAGTTTATCTAATATAGGGACAAAAGGGGGCTCTAAACCATCGTTTGTCTGATGAAGGGGTAGGAAGAAGAACTGAACCCTAGTTTATCTAATATAGGGACAAAAGGGGGCTCTAAATCATCGTTTGTCTGATGAAGGGGTAGGAAGAAGAACTGAACCCTAGTTTATCTAATATAGGGACAAAAGGGGGCTCTAAACCATCGTTTGTCTGATGAAGGGGCAGGCAGTAGAACTGAACCCTAGTTTATCTAATATAGGGACAAAAGGGGGCTCTAAATCATCGTTTGTCTGATGAAGGGGTAGGAAGAAGAACTGAACCCTAGTTTATCTAATATAGTGACAAAGGGGGGCTCTAAACCATCGTTTGCCTGATGAAGGGGCAGGAAGTATAACTGAACCCTAGTTTATCTAATATAGGGACAAAGGGGGCTCTAAACCATCGTTTGCCTGATGAAGGGGCAGGAAGTAGAACTGAACCCTAGTTTATCTAATATAGGGACAAAAGGGGGCTCTAAACCATCGTTTGCCTGATGAAGGGGCAGGAAGTAGAACTGAACCCTAGTTTATCTAATATAGGGACAAAAGGGGGCTCTAAACCATCGTCTGCCTGATGAAGGGGCAGGAAGTAGAACTGAACCCTAGTTTATCTAATATAGGGACACAAGGGGGCTCTAAACCATCGACTGCCTGATGAAGGGGCAAGAAGAACCTGATATGTTTGACACTACTGTTTGACTGGGATTTACCACTCGGGTTGGTAAAATCAAAACACGGTAATGGCAAGACGTTTAGCTGAAGTTTCGATGATCTAAAATGACGGTTCAATAACCATTGAATAGCCAATACACTTCTACTGGTTTACCCACCTCAACTGGAATTTAAGTGTTTACATTTCATAACTTTTGATCATGCCATTTGTACCAGAGTGTCAAAGAATACGAATCTTGCTGAGAGGTTGTTGCGTCTCTTGCTCAGAGGTTTTCCCCGAACAAGGCAAGTCATGTTGACACCTGTGTTGAGTGATTCGGTATTAAACTGGGATGTTACCAGTTCAACTGTATTCAGTTTTGCTGAAGTGTGACAGAGTCTCGGCGATAGGATTGCAACACGTGGAGGGAGGCCTTTAGGTTTATATCGATCCGACGAAATCAAGTTGATTTACTCAGTTTATCATTGTGGAAGGTTTCAGGCCAGGTATTTGTTGTAAAATCTGGCCCGGGCTGTCTTGTCTGGCCATCCGGAAACCTATTGTCGTGTGATACAGAATCGATCGTCATGGCCTTTTCTAGTTCTCGTTGTCATCATGTCAATATTAAGTGGTCGTCGTGATTGAGCATAGGTCATGCTTAATGAAACTTGGTTCACTTGAATCACATGATACAGACTTAGTCCGTCATCTTTGATGTGAATCGTATGAAGAGCATTTCCTGCTAGCTGTACTGGGGAGGTGATGGCTGGACATCTACATGGAGAGCGTCAGGTTTAAGGATGTTATCTCCGCCATTATTGTCTTGGCCTGATGCGGAATACATTAGCCAGAACAAATCCGGAGTCACCTATTGCAATATAACATTCCTTGATCAGTCTACAACCAGGTGCCCGTCTGTCTTCAACACGATGATATCTATGTTTATGGGGACACAGGGGTGTGAATAATTCATAAGGATGGCTGTGATGTGTGTGGAAATGGACAGTCTTCATATTCTCAATACATATTGTATCAGCTGGGTACCTTCCTATGTTATATGGCTCGTATATACGACGTTCGCTTCGTGGTGAAAACCTCACTTTATTGTCACGGTTAGAAATATAACATTCTACATTAGCAGCATATCCTTTAATATGTTTGCAGTACCACCATAAATAAGGCAAGGTTTCTAAACAAATTTCACCGAACTGGCAGAGACGTTCCTTCTGAAACGTTCGTTTTTTGTATAGACGAGGCATTTTGCTGGCAATGAAATAATTGATCATTTGTGCAGATAAAGTCTAGTAATTGTCTTCACAGGGTTGTTTTACCAGGTTTCAAATGAATATAAAAATATTTACCGGGTAAGTTTCACTTTCATGTTCAATGAACGTGACTAGTCTGTATTCAATACATATTTTGCTGATGGTACAACTTCTTTTCAGGCAGTAATTAACTAAATATAATCCGGTTCACTTAAAACCTGATGATTAAGGGGAAAATGCTTTAACTATGATTTTACAATGATTTCGAAATGAATTTGATGTCTTCTATAACATGTGCCCCAAGTACTTATCATTTCTCTCCATAGGGAGGTAAGTGTATACCATTGTCAATAGGAGCTCCAAGGAGACACGTGTTTTTCAAGGGTTATGTTTTGAAGATATATTGTGAGCACTAACGATGTTTGAGAATTAAAAAAGAACCTCCTCCTTTTTGTTACCCTCGAGTGGTCTCTTCTATCATTGCAAACAAACGGAGTTTGTTTAATTCATCAATAACCTGTCTGAGAGAGGCTGGACGAGAACAGGATACACGTGGTATCAATGCCTACAATACAGTCCTCCACGCCCGTAAATGTCTTTTCTTTGGAGTCTTGTATTGATTGGCCGCATATAATTTCAGTTAGTATCATGCTTCACTCTAGATATTGCAGAGTACCAATGTGTACACGTCGTTGTACCTGTTACGATATTGATCTTCAACAGCCTATGTATGTTGGTCGGGTGGTCACGCTCGCTGGTAGCTGCATGTCATCATCGTATCCCAATAGAGATGGACACTCTTGATGTCAGTTACTGGGTTTTCTGGTCCTGACCCGATTACTACAGATCCTGTCATACTTTGTTGCCACAGCCTATCCATGATACATTACATGATTTGACAAAACAGGAAGTACACGCCCTGTGCGTTCTGTCATACTGTCGTCAACAATACAGGCCATTAAGAATGTTCACATCTAGTTATAGTTTACTACTATCAGCGGTTGTCAGGCCATAGACTCTGTTACTATATTGGAACACAAATATTGTTTCCACACCGTTATACCATAAATACTGTTCCAATGGTGTATATGTACTGTTCATAGGCCATAGATAATGATCAGAGGAGGAAGGCTAGATGTTTGCCGATGAGTGGTCGTGTTGATAAAACCAAACAATCCCCAAGCACTCTCCATGTACATACGAAATCTTTAATAAACGCAAGGTCGGTTGTTCGATTCTGATTTGAGAGTATCCTGTCCTACCGATGGCACAGATCGCAACCATATGCAAAGTCAAGAACATTTTCAATCTGAAAAAGTCTTTCATAAAATCTTTAAAAAGTGTACCCCTGATCATATGTAATACGTTAGCTAGTCCTGATAGGAGGGGTATGTCACTAGATCTATTATATACACACTGGAAAGACCTTCAAGATCCGTGCAGTCCTGCAGTAGACACACTTATGACCTTATAGAGTTGCTTCTTACATGGTGTTTATCTCGCGTCTAGAAAGACAAGGATTTATTTATCAAAATGTAGTCAGCTTGGCATGCTTAAAATAACTAAATTGTGATGCGAGAGACAACTTCTTTTATATATTTTCTTTTATATCCTACAGATAGATCGTGATCTTTCTCTAATCATTTGCCTCCCAATCGGTTTAGTACATGCCTCGGGCTAGCCTTCAGTTTTTGTACTGAAAGAGTCGACAAACAGCGAATTAGTCGATGGAAATTCACGATTGCACAATCAGCTGCCAATGTTGTAAAGTCAAGTGTTTTCTGTCGATGAATCTTTATAGGGTGTGAAGTACGGTAACCAGGAGACACATCCTCACAGTCGGCTCGGGTCCTGGGTTCTACAGATTCCACCTGATTGACCATTGAAGGGATTGGAAAATGCCCTCAAATGTAATCCTCGTCTGAAAAATCGAAGAGGGCAAATCTCCATCTTTTGTCAGCGTGTCATCTAGTGACGGGGTTTGAGAAGCCGCTCATTTGGCTCATTATTCCAACAGGATGCATGATTACTAGGGTTTACCTGACTTCTTCTGCTTAATCGACTTCATCACAAACGGCCATACAAGGAAGGCACTGGCATATGCAAGTTGGTGGTAGCCCGGTGCTGATGAAATAATGAAATTACTGTGTGGCCTGGCGTGGTTTACACTAAGCAGTTATGCAAATAATACACATTAAATGTGAAAACCAATTACACCGAGTAAAGTAACACCTGATGACATATCAAAGGTCCAGGTCAATGGTATGGCTAATGACACATCTATAGATGGCCGGGACAGTGGTATGGCTAAAGACACACCTATAGATGGTCGGGACAGTGGTATGGCTAAAGACACACCTACAGATGGTTGGGACAGTGGTATGGCTAAAGACACACCTACAGATGGTCGGGACAGTGGTATGGCTAAAGACACACCTATAGATGGTCGGGACAGTGGTATGGCTAAAGACACACCTATAGATGGTCGGGACAGTGGTATGGCTAAAGACACACCTATAGATGGTCGGGACAGTGGTATGGCTAAAGACACACATATAGATGGTCGGGACAGTGGTATGGCTAAAGACACACATATAGATGGCCGGGACAGTAGTATGGCTAAAGACACACCTATAGATGGTTGGGACAGTGGTATGGCTAAAGACACACCTATAGATGGTCGGGACAGTGGTATGGCTAAAGACACACATATAGATGGCCGGGACAGTAGTATGGCTAAAGACACACCTATAGATGGTTGGGACAGTAGTATGGCTAAAGACACACCTATAGATGGTCGGGACAGTGGTATGGCTAAAGACACACCTACAGATGGTCGGGACAGTGGTATGGCTAAAGACACACTTATAGATGGTATGGCTAAAGGACAGTATAGATGGTAGTGGTATGGCTAAAGACACACCTATAGATGGTCGGGACAGTGGTATGGCTAAAGACACACATATAGATGGCCGGGACAGTAGTATGGCTAAAGACACACCTATAGATGGTTGGGACAGTGGTATGGCTAAAGACACACCTATAGGTGGTCGGGACAGTGGTATGGCTAAAGACACACCTATATAATAAAACCGTCTGTTCCGTCTTCGGCGACAATGCGACTGACATACGGAGATTAATAAACGACGATCTGTAGACAAGTTGTTTTGTTGTGTTGTGATGACAACTATGTATCACCCTTCCATATTTCGCTGAGGCAAAATGGTCCCACGCATTATTCTGGAGTTTCCTGATAAACCTAATAGTTTCATGTATATCAATATAAGTGTACCATTGCAATCTGAACCGAGAAGACTGATTAAAGGAGTTACTCATCGTCAGCGTGCAGTGCAAGAAGTCATAAAGCAGATTAACCAGAACTACTCGCGAAGGGCTAGCCACCTCTAAAAGCTTCCTGACATTCAGCCGCAGTGAGGCAGGGTGATGCCGCGTCAATCGGTATTCTACATGAATATGTTTATTCATAGAGAACCAGAAGAGGACGGACTCACTGTATGCCATTATGTCACCTATCCTAATGTATTTGGGAAGGCTGGGGACAGTTCCCAGAGGACTTGTGTGGGGGCTTCGTTTACTTAACAATCCCCATATACATGCAAGCAGCTTGGTCAGCGTAGACCAGAACACGGCCACTGGGAATGAAGTATCTGAATATTTTATTAAGACAATGGACGCCTTTAGAGCATGTACCTTGCCAAAGCGCCATAATATTAGAAAGTGTCAAACACGGATCTCTTTCACGGGTACATGGTAACAGAGGGTGGTAAACTCTGGGTTTCTTCATAAGCAAAACATTGCCATAACCAATGACCATGACATGTGTACCAGTAACGCCCAAAAGGCCCTGCCCGGTCTCTGTCTAGTGGTAACACCCAAAAGGATCTGCACTGCTGGTGTGTAGTGGTAACACCAGAAGGCTCCTGACTGTCGGTGAGTAGTGGTAACACCCAGAAGGCTCTGTACTGTCGGTGTGTAGTCGTAACATGTAGAAGGCTCCGGACTGGCGGTGTGTAGTGGTAACATGTAGAAGGCTCCGGACTGTCGGTGTGTAGTGGTAACATGTAGAAGGCTTTGTACTGTCGGTGTGTAGTGGTAACATGTAGAAGGCTCTGGACTGTCGGTGTGTAGTGGTAACATGTAGAAGGCTCTGTACTGTCGGTGTGTAGTGGTAACATCCAGAAGGCTCCGGACTGTCGGTGTGTAGTGGTAACATGTAGAAGCCCTGTACTGTCGGTGTGTAGTCGTAACATGAAGAAAGCTCGGGACTGTCGGTGTGTAGTGGTAACATGTAGAAGGCTCTGTACTGTCGGTGTGTAGTGGTAACATGTAGAAGGCTTTGGACTGTCGGTGTGTAGTGGTAACATCCAGAAGGCTCTGTACTGGCGGTGTGTAGTGGTAACATCTAAAAGGCTCCTGACTGTCGGTGTGTAGTGGTAACATCCAGAAGGCTCTGTTCTGTCGGTGTGTAGTGGTAGCATGTAGAAGGCTCCGGACTGTGCAGTCGTAACATCTAGAAGAGGCTCTGTACTGTCGGTGTGTAGTGGTAACATGTAGAAGGCTCCGGACTGGCGGTGTGCAGTCGTAACATCTAGAAGGCTCTGTAATGTCGGTGTGTTGTGGTAACATGTAGAAGGCTTCGGACTGTCGGTGTGTAGTGGTAACATCCAGAAGGTCCCGTTCTGCGTTGTGTAGTGGTAACGGAGAGAAGGCTCCTGACTGGTGGTGTGTAGTGGTACCATCCAGAAGGCTCCTGGCTGTCGGTGTGTAGTGGTAACACCCAGAAGGCCGGTTCTGCTTAATGTAGATGTAACGGACAGAAGGCTCTGCTCTGCTGACAAGTATTGGTAACATCCAGAAGGTCCTGTTCTGCTTAATGTAGATGTAACGGACAGAAGGCTTTGCTCTGCTGACAGGTATTGGTAACATCCAGAAGGTCCCGTTCTGCTTAATGTAGATGTAACGGAGAGAAGGCTCTGCTCTGCAAGTATTGGTAACATCGAGAGGGGCCTGCACTACTGATGTGTACGAAATGAGACATAAGACTTGGTTTAAAATGCTTTTATTCAACAGCAAAAAATAACAGCTTTATGTCTGCTGTGGCCTTGACATACCTTCGTGCTCGGCTGTGGCCTTGACATACCTTCGTGCTCGACTGTGGCCTTGACATACCTTCATGCTCGGCTGTGGCCTTGACATACCTTCGTGCTCGGCTGTGGCCTTGACATACCTTCGTGCTCGGCTGTGGCCTTGACATACCTTCGTGCTCGGCGGATCTTGGCGAACGCTGATCATCACACAAATCAGATCCAACTTTTACTGCAGGAAGTTCTTTTGTACGTGACCCAGATGATGCCATTTTGAAGAGTGTTTTCGGATCTCCCGTTAAATGGACCTTTATCATATTTTATGCATTAGTTGGTTTTGAAAAAGAAGGTGTAATTATATTATCCAACTCATAGATTGTAGTTTGCATAGACGAAATCGTTTACTAACCGTTGCTTGTGTATATCTAACTGGATTAACTTACATTAAATACAATAAATCAATTTTATTCCCAGGACAGACCTTCATTTGTCCGTGTCTCGTCCATTTCACTGTAATTTAATGATAACAAAAGGGCGTCTCATCCCACACGTTGAGGCATTAGCGGCTATTCTTTAAGATTATTTCACGCACAAAAATTCAAAACTTTACTTTCGACGACCGTATTTTACAGAGAAACATTAACAGCCCGAGCAGAAAACATATATATATATATTGTATTAGATTAACAAGATGGCTGACATGAGTCTGACATATTGGTATGAAACTGACTGGATGCACATCAGCTCCTGTTACTGAGGTCTGGTTACTACCGGCTGGACATCTACTTGTCATATCACATGCCATCTGACTGAGATGGACCTTCAACATAACGACGACATACTGACTACACACGGGCCCTGACTGGAGGCAGCGAAAGGGTGTCTATATGTATTGAAACAAACACACTTCACAGGACGTTACGTGTTTGGATGCAACGCTGTTGTTTCATATGCATCCTTTAAATCACTGGTTGTAGCACAATGTGCATGTTGACAACTTTACCCCTGATCTGAGAAAAATACTGACGATATCGTGTAGAGATAGTGGGTATCCAGACTCCTCACAGACTGACGCACAGATAAACAGTGAACCGGAAGTGTACTCAGTGAACACTGAGGGAGAGATTCAGAATATACACATCTCTGAATCAGAATGTCATGAAAAGTCCACTAGCATATTGTACAGAAACACACTGCCAATTATACCCAGGACAATCTAAGACGCCAAAGAGACACACACAGAAAGGCAATCTAAGGTGACCTGACACGATATAGACGAAAAGAGTAAGACAATCATAGACAAAGTAAGATATTATTCCCACACAAACAGCATAGGAATTCAAGCTAACCTAAGGTTAATTCAAGCCAGGTTAGTTCCCATCTAACGCGCATGGAAGGGTAGACATCGACCAATGTACAACCCGTTGTTTGACGGCGATCTGTAAATAATTGAGTCTGGACCAGACAATCCAGTGATTGACATCAGGTGTATCGATCTGAGTAACAGTGATATGATGACAGACATCAGCCAAGTTAGCGAGTCAGATAAACCCGATCCTGTTAGTCGCCTCTTACTGCAAGCACGGGTTGTGGAGGAAATTATAACCTGGATCATCACTGGTACCCACCAAACAAAGCCCATTATTCAATAGCTTCTGTCATCAGAAACCAAACGAAAACGACAAAATCATTTCCATTGGGAATTAGACGTCCCGTGTATGATTCTGGATGTGGCACAAGCAAGCGTTTGTGAGTTTGCCTCACAGTTTACTGCCTGGACATACTAGACTGCACCACAGATGAAGTATAAACCCACTTTATTGCTCCTAGTGAGCGCTGCTGTCTGCCCGGCTGTCTGTCGGTGTGATCTGACAGCAGCTAATCAGAGGACACATTTGACCAGTTATCGTTAATCGGTAGCCAGCACGGCGCGGCCTTGACCCCGAGGTGTCTGCACGATGCTGCCGATCTATACAAACCGTTTAACATGGACTCAAACATCTGTGACCAATAACAATGTACGGAAAAGCATCAACAATCAATTCACACCAAATAATTCCTTTCACTAGGAGCTATTCTGATAAAGTCTCGCATTCCGTGTGATGTACACAGGACCCCATAACAATTTCCGTGTTATATTTTCAGTGTAAGTTAGGAGTGAACATTATGTATCACTATCAAATAATGCTTATTATGCTTACATACATGCTTATCTTGTGAGAGGTCCTGCCACCGGGAATAACAACCACCATCCATGTAGGGAAGGCTTTAGATGATGGAAGATAACACAGTGGTTGATTCTAGTTCTTCCAACACAATGTTATGTCTGAACAAGAGGGATGATAAGTCCCCATCAAACACGACAGTGTTGGTGGTATGACATATTGTTGGACGTTTAGAGAACGGTTTCTCTGAGAACGTATATGTTTTATCTAAGTCAAAGCCACAGTTATCTTGCTTGCAAATTCCAACATCAGGAACATACCCTCCATATCTCCATGCAGTATTTCTTCATATGACACAGAAGTTTTTTTTCAGTAGTCAAGTGCCGTGTCTTCCAATAACCATTTAGTTATTCATCACAACTCACGTTTGACACAATGACAACTTGTGTTTGAATAGACATGGTTAAAAACCAGGGGTGTTTACTAAATTTCTGGGAGTTTATTATGTAGAATGTGCGGGTAAATCATTAAGACACGGAGCAGGCATCCCCACTAGACTAAGGCTTAGTCTCTGAATATATTTAATTTTGATAGTAACAAACAAGCCCATTTATATTGAAAAGGAGCCCTAGG